GGAGGAGGAGGGGGGGGGGAAGTTTATTGGGAATCGCTGGCAGGGAGCGGGGAGGCAGACCGGCGCCGCGGGAGGCTGCCGGGAGAGCGCGGGGATTAATGCGTCTGGGTTGGGCCGGGCAACGGCGGCACGAAACTTCGTGTCTGTGGGCTGCGCCGCCGAGGAGGCGGCCGGCGGCGGGCTTGGGCCGCGGGGCCGCCCGCTCTGTCCCGCCTGCCGGGCGGGCGGTGTCAGCTCAGGACAGGCTGCCGGGCTGTGCCGTGCGAGGCTCGCTCGGTGTGTCTCCAAAAGGTATCCTGAGGTCGCGCCTCCTCCCGCCGAAACGCCTCAGCGGCCGCCGCCGCGCTGGGCTGCCCCCCGCGGGAGCCGGGCGGCGGGGCCGGGCCGGTGGTCCGGCGCGCCGGAGAATAACCTTTCTGTGTGGATGTGTGGTTTTTAAATCCCCGGCTCTGCCGGAGCTAAGGCACGCCGCGGAGAGCACAGCAGTTAGTTGCCCGGGAGCGGCGGGCGTCCTCCCCGAGAGGCAGAAGGGCCGAGGGGAGCCGGGGCCGGGGCAGCGCCGTCCTGCCCCATCCCCAGCGGGCGACTAGTCCCGTTGAACCAGCTGGGCGCTGGTGGGACGTGGAAACCTGCTGTCAATGCAAAACCCCGAAGTTCAAATACTGGAGGGTTTGGGGTTTTGTTTGGGTTTTTTTTTTTTTTTCCAGTTAAAGAAAGGCAGGAAACTGGGTGCGAAGCGGAAGGTGCATCTTCAGAGCGAACACAGCAGTTCTTTAATGGTGGATTACATCTCTCTTTCAGGGACGGGGAGGAAGGGGAGTAATTGATGCCCTCCCTGGTGAGGTATCACTGCACTCGGTGGACGTTTGTGCTTTTCTGTACGACACAGACTATGAGGTGACATATCTCTATGCTAATGCCTGTATTTATGTAACGTTTTAGGGACTTTGTGCCGTCTTCCAGATGCAGTTTATATATTCACATCCCTTCTGGAGAGTATTACCTCCACTCTGTAGGTGCAAAAGCTTTTGCGTAACGCTGTGGAGTGGCTGTGCTCCAAGTCAGGACACCTAGGAATCCCCAGAACCTCACTCGCTGGTTCCTAGCCTTCCATCTTAACCATGAGGCCATCCTTCCTCACTTAGGTAGATAAGTGAGCATAGTGTTCTCCCTTCACCTGAGAATTAGGATGTGAATCATGTTTGAGACACTAAATGGAAAAAATCAAGTTGTGTCATAATTTCTTAGTTCTCCCTTCACTTCCTCATGCTTACTACTAATTATTTTAGGGTTTTTTTTTCCTAGTCTTGTTTAAGAAAAAAACTGGGGAAAAAAAATTATCTGTGCTTGGCTTCATTCAACATCAAGCTTTTATGGTAATACTATTTGTAATCGAGTTAATCTTTTGAAGCCTTTTCTTTAGGCCTCTTGTAGGAAAATATACAGTATTTCTAAGTGTAAGGCTGAAGAGAGCTTCTTGTTCCTTTAAATTGGAAATATGCACGTTTCTTGTAGGACTGTTTAACTTTCTGCCCTCACTTATTTTTATTAAGGTGTTTATGTAGCTTGAAGGTCTAGGACATACTTGGAAGAAAACACTTTTGTCTCGGGTTTTCTTCAAATAATAATGATGAATCTGTGACTCTTTCTCTCCAGGAGACATTTTGGAAAGGCGGAAGAGACAAAGTCATTCATGTATTTCTAAGTCAACAACTGAGCAAAAGGTTCTTGTAGGAAACCTACCTGTCTTTTCTCAAATAACATAAGCTGGCGAAATATTTCCCCCCCCTCGCTTTTGAGATTACTTCCTGAGTGGTGCTATGTTTGCTACTGGCTTTTGTGCCATGTGTTGAACAAGAGCTTACTGTCAGTGCAAACTAATGAATTTTCTTCTCGAGGCTGGGTGGCAGAAGCCTTTTCCATAGATCCATGACTCTATTTACATTTGTGTCCTGTTATACAGAGCATCATGTTATGTACGTGCTGAGTATCATGTGTCTGCGGTGGATCCTGCCTTTCAGTTCTAGCTTGTGTGCATTTTGGAGACTGACCTTTTAAGTACTGAAGCTGAACTAGTTTACAAAATTAATTAAATGCTGATACAATAGCAGTTAGTATCACTGCTACTGATGTCAGTGTTTGCCATTACATTTGATCATGTGTTTTTTTTCTAATTTGATAGTGAGTTTCATCTTGGCCACTTCCAACTATATTGTGCCTTGAAAATGTTTGAGAAGTGACTAGCATTAGCCTGGTAGAGTTTCCTTGTTTGCATCTCATTCATTTTTTCGTTGTATGTAATCCTTTTACAAGGAATTACACAGATTTATAAAGGAGCCCCCGAACTGGATTTGTGTTCTACAATTAGTAGATGAATTACTGTCCGGAGTCAACCTTTCCAACAGCTTGCAGAGGCCAGAACAGGGTCAGTGGTCTGACATACAATACTATTGTTCAAAAAGCTTTGGTGGGTTTTTTTTGGGGGGTGATGATACTGTGGACTATTTCTTTGCATGAAAATAACGCATTTTATGCATTGTTCATTTGGACTTGTGTATACTAAACATCCTAGGTGCAGCTATCTCTGAGCAAGAGGTGAAATATGATCGCTTTCTAGCACATAAGATAATCTTCTAGTACACGATTCCAGTGAGAAGTGAGAGGAAGCTTCATTAAGAAGGAACCTTGGTGATACCTCTCCAGCTACGAAAGCTTTCATAATACTTGCCTACTTCACATCTTGAGGCAGATAAAATCTTTTTGAGGTTATAGGAAAAGAACATTCATCATAGTTGACTTATGTATGACTGCACTTCTTTTTTTTTAATCAGGGACTACTGCTTTTGATACTTTCAAACTTGGAAGGCAGATGCGTATGCAAAATGGTTTGTGGTGTCCTCAGAGTTCTGGGGGAAGATTTTCAGTAAGCTAATGGGGAAGGTCCTGGTATGGTTGCTGGTCAAAACAAATAAAAAAAAAAAAATTTAGTTCATAAGGAAAATCAGGATCTACTATAAACCAAAGCATAACCATTTCAGGTTTTTTGTTGCTGTTTCTTCTTTTTGGTCAAACAGATAAAACAATAGGCACAAACAGTACAGGGAAGTCAGAAGGAACATGGGGTGAATTTGTGAGCCATAATTCACCAGTCAGCAAACAAAGGGCATGATGCCAGGCAAGTTCAGCCATAAAGGAGCCTTGTCTTGGGGGCAGGCTGTGATTGTTTGTGGACAGATGGCTGCTTACCAGTTCATAAAAATAACTTCTGGATACCTTTTCCTCAACTGTGGCATATTTACCTGAATTATGCCTGCCTAAGAAAAGGCAAGATTAAGTTCTCTAGTATTGAACAGGTTTCCTGCATCTGAAAGGGATGCAACTTTGAATTCTGCGATCTTATCTCTTGTGTGGATAAAGGCAAAATTTTTGGTACAGTGGGAGGGATGAGGGTGGGAGAGGTTGGTAGCTTTGTGCTGTGGGATACAGAACTTGCTTCTAGCCCTAGAATCAGGCTGGCAATCTGTAGAGATACCATAATGCATGGGAATTCTCATTTTTTGAGGTTTGAATGGTTTCCTAGAAGCTTGATAAAGTAGGTAAAGAAACTATAAAAGTAGATCCCCCGGTCTGTATAATCCAGACCCGTTCCTACAGAGCAGCCTTTTGTGCCACAAATGACGACACCATTTGTGTATAGCACATTTTGTTTTGTGTTTGAGAAGATGGAACTTTAACACAGGCAGCCAACTCTTTCTTGTAAGAAGAATGTGGAGACTGTCAGAGAGGGGCCTCTGCCTATAGCTACCCAGAGTGTTGAATTTTCCGGATTAGTTCTTGCCACTGGCTGGAGTTGATGTCTAGATCTGACATTCTGCTTTCTACATCCCCCGATTTGAATTCCCCTCCTCTTTTCTGTAGCACTTTAAAAACCCTGTCCTTCCTGTATTCATGTTCTGCCTTATTGTTTTGCATTGGTCCTAAAACTCCCATAGCACATTACTGTAATATTGGAGTAGAGTATTAAAGATAGAATTACAATACACATCTAAGAGAAAAAAACAGCTACTGCTGTGAATGAATCCCTTGCAGAACAGGGAAGTAGAACTTCCTTTTATTTGTTCCCTTGGGGAAATAGAGAGATGAGTAGCCAGTTGCTGGCAGTCAGTTTGGCCACTTCCCCACGACCTTTTTTACTTGTTAAATATATGCATAGAAGTACACATTTGTTAAATTTATACATAAAATGCAAACATACTGACCATGCAACATAGTGGCTAGTGTACATGCCAGGTGGTGTCTCTGCATCTGAGCCTAAGGGTTTCCCAAGAAGCAGCTGCCATCATGCAGTTAAGCTTTACATGTGTAGCAGATTCTGTATCACATGCACAATAAGGCTGGATTCATGCAACGTAGATTTATGCATGTGATTTAAAGTCCTCTCGGCAATTGAGACATGGTGCCTAGCATCTCCAGGATCCTTGAGGCAGCCTTACATACACGTGCAGACAGACACTGCACAGATGGTCAGAGTGAAAGGATATTAAAGTGGCTAAGTTAAGCACTCAAAAGTTACAAAATGCCAGAATTGGGAAATGCTTATGCAATCTTAATTCCATCCATACATCTCTATATTGCTTTGTAATAATCTTAAAATAGATTGCATACCCTCCCCCCTCATTCA